ATTATGCGTTTTGCGTTTAATTCCTTTTCTCGAATTAATTTATCTCTGAACATCATAATCTCTTACTGTAGAATTATAAATAAACATTACAAAACATGTATTTTGTTTTGCAATATGTATTCGTGTACGATCCTTTACCATGCAACGAGAATCAGAAACTAGTGAATTATTCCTAGAAGTATTAAAATTGTTGGAGGAGTAAATAAATTGTTTGTAGTTTATCTACATAGTTTATTCGCCATACGATTAGATATATCAGGTAATAGAACAGTTTTTAAATATACGATCAATATTTTCTTTTGTTCAATATGGAATCCCTGTCAATTGTCTTCTTTTGCTCACAAAAAGGAATATGAAACCGGAATAAGCTGTTAAAGGGGTTTTACCATTTTCAACAGAAATTATAACAGAAAAACCATTGAGAATGGGACGTAAGGTTCTTGAATGTCGGATGTGTCGTCTACGAGCGAAAATATCGTACGTTTATTGAATGGAAATTGCGGCCGAGTTGGCACGATTCTAGGAATCCTTGATGGTGTAACTGCGAAATGTAGCGAAGCACTTAGTAAACGGTGTCCTAAATAAATCAACGAATTAAGCGGAGCAATTCGAGGAATACGACATCAGAGCTATACCATTAAGGGTGACCACTTTAACACGTTGAAAAACTCAAATTTTCATATTCAGAAATTACATGAATTTTTAAAATAATTTGACAGAGAATACAGCAAAATTAGGGTATAATAAATGATGGGAAATTTGGGAAAAGTTATTCAGGCCATAAATTTGGATGGTTTTTTAATCTTTTAACCTTTTGACATTTTGTTCTCAACGACTTTGGAACCTTGTAGTTTCATTTTTTCGATTATTCTATGAAGAATTATATGGGAACATAAATGTGTACTTCAATGAAATATGTTTTGTAAGTAAACAAAAGCAAGAATGAGTTACTTTTTACGTGTATAATTTTTCCAAACCCATACATATACACTGCATATGTTAGAGTTAAATACTTTTTATTTGAAGTGAAATACCAAATATAGAGAACAAATAATTAATTTAAATGAAATAACAGACAAAAATTACTTTAAATAAAATAACAAATAAAAATGTCAAAAAATTACTTCAAACAAAATAACAAATAAAGATCATAAATAACTTTGTTGACTCGTACTCGCGGCTTAATCGCGATATTATTTCGTAAAGACGAGTCCATTTCATTTGTCCGTAGAGAAGTCATACTTTCGTGCAATCGAATTGTTCAAAATTCGATACAGCCCTTTAAATTTTCGTTGAATCGAAGTTCTTCCCGCTCTAGGCGCCAAAGTTATCGCATTGAAACTGCAAGAGGAGCCGAACAGACAAGACGGTTTACGACGGCAAAGAGTGCTTGACCGTGTGCTTCGTGTTGGTAAGGAGCGGATTATACTCTCTCGACACGGTATCAGATGGTCCCGTAGCTGGTTCCATGGTTGTTAATTAGGATGGATGCCCACGCCTTGGGCGACTTTTACGAGCGGATACGGCGCGAACCGAAATAGCGCATCCGATGTTAACGCGTTGACCTTCCTTCGAGGAACTGCGGCGAGCATCTCGATAAGAAGGAAATACTGAAAAGAACGAGGCACTCGGCTATTTAGAATTATTTAGACGAGCTTCGACGATCAGATTAGTCGACCAAGGTACATAATGCTGTAACCTTTTTGGCGGCACTAGGTCAGGCCGACACATGTTGTTCAAACTTTGTATTCGACACGAGTCAAAGCACAACATTTTTATTACATCTACTTTAACACTAGGTTTACGAACGTTCAATACAGTTACTTTTAGATTTTAAATAAAGATATATAAAACAACGATATATACAGGGTGTTGTCTGTAACGCTACTCACGATTTTTCTTCCATTTGCAGCCATTTTAATGAATCTAAAACGCGTTACTTTGACGCGTTTCATAACACTAGTGTTAACTTTTATTGTACATATATGGGTGATATTTAAATACGAATCTATCACAAGTATTTACTGTGAATAATAATTGTAACAAAATATTGTGAAAATATTTGATATGATTTGTTAAAAATCTTGTTAAAGGTTTAACAGAAATGTTAAAGATAAAAAATCTTGTTGCAGATGTATACAAAATTTTGGTAGACATTTATAAAAAATTTGTTAAAAATCTTGTTGAACGTTTACAACAAATTTTATTAAAGACTTGTCAAAAAACTTGTTGAAAGTTTATCTTATTATTTACCTTGTTAAAAAATTTTGTTAAAGATTTGTTAAAAAATATTAGCTAATCAAATTTTTTATTGCTACAGTGTGGCAGTCAATGTATTAATTTATGTGATTAATCCCTGCATGATATGTATTTCTCAGATGTGTCAGTCAAAATTATTCATTGCTAAAAGAGATAAAGTTGAAATGTTACATCTACTTTGTATTCAATGATCCTTGACTATGTAAATTATAATTCAACTTCAAATTGAAGTGTATACAAAATTTTAGTAAGATTTATTTGAACTATGAATGCGTCACAAGTTAAAGTGTAGGGGGTTAATGTAGAAAGACAATTATTCAATTTTGAATTATTATTACTTTACAAGGGAAAAAATCTACTTCTTTCAGTTCAGCAAAAAATCTAGGAAGATAATCGATATTGTTAATATTTAAAAATATCAGAATCAGTGATATTATCTTGCTATAATATTGTATAAGGTCTGTTATTCTTGCTGTTTAGTATTTTTGCTTTTATTGAATAGTATTCTACTGTAGAATATTTATTGTCGTACGAAAATATGAAAAATATGAGAAAAATGAATATGAAAAAGTACTTTCAGCGTATAGGATTCGATTCCAATATCTCTCATTATAGTCAGACAGAAAGTATTAAGATGTACTATAAAAAGACTGCGAAAATATAAAAACAGAAATAAAAGTTTAACAGATAAGATAATTGCAAAAAGATTATTATTATTTGAAATTAAGTAATTTTTCAAAGAGATGCAGTTGTAATTAAGATAATTAACGATATGAAATATAAATCACATCTAATAGCAGAAAACAGCAAAGTTAGTTTATACGTTCACTTAATGAACTGATATACAAGATTAAGATCTAATTGAAAGTTCCGAACAGCTATTTCGATAAAAAATGTGATAAATTATGAATTAGTTCTCGGATACAAGTATGAAGTTATAATCCGAAAATAAAGTGAATTTATATCGCTTTGAAGAGATGGAAACGAGACTGACTAATAAAAAGTGACAAATAGCTATATAAAAATATAACTGCACACGTCAAACGTAATTAAAGCGATAAATATTTAAATTAATCTTACTAATTATTTCTTTGCTCTTACCGATTGTTCCTATGATATAAATGTATGATATCCTTCACTTAAAAATAAAACAATTTTTCGAACTAATGTTATTATTTCTTATTAATTGATTTTCGTATAAATTCTCTTAATAAAAGTTATTACATTATTTATAAATAATATAATAATGCTTTTATATTTAGGGATTTACATCTCATTAATGTGTAAGCACCGTGAAGATCTTTTGTTATTCTCAAAGTATATTTTATACTTTTATAAGGCGTATATGACGCAATGTACACGTCATGTATATTTGTATAACTGTAAGTAAATATTTATGAATGACAATATTTTGCAGAAAACATATATAAAGTTTATCTCACAACGGCGGAGAATTACACTTGTTTACGGCCATCTTGTTCGTTTTCATTAGCATCTCAAACCTTCCAAAATTGGACTTTATTAAACACGCGTATTTATTGCTATCCAAAAATACCTAACTACCCTGTGATGAAGTCTGCTGAGTGCTGTACTCGTAAAAACTTCATTTTTGCGATCATCAACCTCATGGTCGAATTTATGAAATCGACTTGTCACTTTTGTATATGCGATGCGCAAGACAAGTCGATTTCGTAAATTTTATCATGAGGCTCGTTAATTGCAAAAATGAAGTTTTTACGAGTACAGCACGCAGGATAGGGTTGTCAGGTATTTTTGGACAGCAATAAATTCCTCATGTTTAATAAAGTCGAATTTTGGAAGGTAAGTTTGAGATGTTAATGTAAACAAACAAGATGGCCGTAAACAAATGCAACTGTACTCTGTTGGAATATATTTTTTACTTGTGTATAATTCTACAATAAATGTGTAAAAAAAGAAAATAAAACAATTCTGCACTACTGTGAATCGAACCTTACACTCCGACCTGCAAATTCTATATTTTAGGATATAGATATTGCCTGCACTTTACTTCCTATTTAACATTGAAACTTCAATAATAAATATCTCGAAAACTATCAAGTATTCGAATGAATAACAGTTCGTAAACAGGAAGACAAATTCCGTAAATATTATAAGTTTCATTTATTTCCTCAGAGAAGGTCCCTTTGTAAGATATCATTTATAACATGTAACCATAAAAGAGAGATTAATCTTTCGATGTGTCATATTAGGAACATACACTAAAATGTGACCTCTTCGTTCGCTGGTATAACTTATGGACCAGTAGTAAAGTTTGAAAGAAAAAAATGAAAGAGTCGAGTCACTATATCAGCATCAATCGTAATTTTTAATGCTTGAGTTGATCGGGTAGCCGATTTCGTTCGACAAGATGGAAAGAGTAACGAGCTGGCGATACCAGGCATATCCTCGAATGAAATCGTACAGCTTGCTCGTAGTAAATCAACTCTGTCCTATTCCGATCTTTGTAGATGGCGGCACGCTCGCAACAACCGGCGGCTCTATCTATCGGCTAACAGGAAGAGGAGGCGGGGCGTAAAGGAGGGGAAGTAATCTGGTGAGTCGTAAAACGTGTCAGAATGTCCAACAAACACCTACTCATTAGCCCAGGTAGGCTGGACTGTGGCAGGCAAGATTGCACAAGCACGCATTAACTCCGTGTGGGTAAGTTACGGTCCGGGGAGAGCATAATTCACCCAAGAGCCAAGAAAGTGTTGGTTTACCTCTCTCAGACGCTTGTGTAAGGGCTTGGCTCCTCGTTATTTTATCGGCTGCCGGTCGCCTCCAAAGTCTTCGGGCTAATTGAAATCCACTTTCTTAAATTCGGAAGACCAGCCCTCGATACCGCGGCTCCAAGATTTATCGTTGATTCCTTCTGCTTCGACATTGCGGTATCTCGCAGCTGAAACATTAAACGGTACCCGCCGTGCGGGAAGATCAATCTTTGACCGTTTTCGGAAATCTTTCGCCGATTTCTCTCACGATTTTTTACGCAAACGTCACTGATCTATCCACGGATAAACAAATACGCTTAACTTACGACACGCTCCTTTATTTTATCAAACAAATAAACGATCGTTAATTCTACACTACCGTTCCGACTGGGATCATTAAGTTTCAAAAAAGTATCTGATCCACGCACGGATAAACAAATACGCTTAACTTGCTCACCTGACGGTCCTTTATTTTATCAAATAAGTAAACACCTATTCATTCTATCCTACCGTTACACCTGTGATCATTAAGTTTCAAAAAAGTATCTGATCCACAAACAGATAAACAAATACGCTTAACTTGCTTACCTGACGGTCTTTTATTTTATCAAATAAGTAAACGCCTATTCATTCTATCCTATCGTTACACCTGTGATCATTAAGTTTCAAAAAAGTATCTGATCCACAAACAGATAAACAAATACGCCTAACTTATTTACCAAACAGTCTTTTATTTTATCACATAAGTTAACACCTATTAATTCTACCCAAACTGCAGCTGTGATCATTAAGTATCAAAAAGTATCTGATCCACAAACAGATACAAATACGCCTAACTTGCTCACCAGACTGTCCTTTATTTTATCAAATGAGTAAACAACTATTAATTCTGCTCTACCGTTACATATGTGATCATTAAGTTTCAAGTGTCTGATCCACGTACGAATAAACAAATACCTTAACTTGCTCATGAGACAGCCCTCTATTTTACCAAATAAATAAACGACCATTCTACACTGTCATGATACAAGTATCAAAAAAAGGATGAACCCCGAAAGCCAGAAATACTCATCGTCGTATTTTTATTTGAAAGAAACGCATTTGAAAGGAAGAATCATGAATTCCATTCATAGAGTACCGGCCATTAGTGGTCTAATAGTGGCGGTATGATTTATGTTAGCGAATAAGCGATTATGCGAGGTACTTACGATTTTGACTTAAGACATCTGTTACAACATTTATCTAATTACGTTTCGTCGAGCATGGCGGTAATGGGGTGGCTAGAAAAAAGGAGAGAACCGTACAGCTTTATCGAAGATTTTTTCTCTCGGTGTAACGGGTGAAAATATTTGCGGCGCTTACCGCAATATACGTCCAATATATCTTTTAGATCGGTCTTTGTCAGAGGAGAACAGAAATCACCGTTGAATCGGTTTCCAGGAGGTATACGCTTGTCTCTTGCGGAGGCCCCTCACGAGGCGCTCTTTCTACTCGTGTTGCACTTTTCTGCTTATAGAGGTATGTGTAAGCACGCCACATACTCGTGTAGGTGCAACGGTGCAGGAAGCTGCAACAGCTCGCCGGTGCAGCCGCCTGGTACGAAACCAGATAGACATCTTCGCCAACTCTCCCGCCGCCGTCTAACTAATTGGCTACTGAATTACTGGGCGACATGACCAGTTATTGCTTCGTACCTCACCTCGACTGGATATATCGGATCCTGGATCTTGCAGTTCGAGGAGTATACTCGCTTGTTGCCTGCCTCTCTCTTTCCCTCCTTATTCACTCCCTTTTCTCACCCTATAGCCCTTCTACATCATACCATTTTCTCTCCTTCCCGCTCAGGACTTGCCTCGAACGCACCTTCCAACTTGCAAATCTCCCTCCATATTTCTTTATTCTATACCGGACAATCATTGTAACGAATTCTTGTAAGGTATGGAGATTTAGTTTATCTCTTATTTGTCAAATTCTATCTATATTGTTAATTACATCGCTAGGTATTTTGATAATATAGATTTTTTGAGAATATTGATGATATAGACAGTACAAGCATCGTAGTAGAATTTTTAACATTATATTGCAATCTTAATTCTTGCTATTGCAACACATGTTAGTATGTAATTTTGCTATACATTAGTGGCAAGAGGTAAAACACTCATGATGAATAAAGACATAACACAAAACAGTGTTTGCACTCCTACATGCAAAAATATAGATGATACTATATTAAATAAATCTTCTAAAAAATTCTGACATCGTTAAAAATCGACTTCGTCGTTCGTTACATGTAGCAGAAAGGATTATCTTACAACCTTCCTTCTTTAATATCCGCAATTTTCTGCACCTTGTTCACCAATAATCTTCTTACAGTAGATTAATCTGCATGATTTTATTCACACCTCTTTATAGCTTAAATTAGTCAAAGTTTATTTATAAGTGCTCATTAACGTTATACGACGCCGTCATAAAAATCTTAATACACGTGCTTCGAACACCTCCTGCAGAATAAAGAATATTAATTTTCTTGACATACTCGGCGAGAATTATTTAATCCGTACTTAGCATTATCTAGTCGCAGTTACTGAACTTGTTTTCGAAACACTGTATACGTAAATGGTTGTCTGCTTTATATGCGTGCTGCTATTAGCGAAAAAGTTAACAACGACTAGTAATAGTCTGGTGATCGCGAAATCTTTACCCGTAATGGACGTACTAAGCGATCCGCTCCAGCACACCACGCATATTTATCTAGGCGGTGTCTTTTACGTGGTTAAAACGCCTCCGATCTTCTGTAGCTTGGTTGCTCGTTTGATCACTTTCGCGCGATACCCTCATGAATATTAGTTGCATTACAGAATTTTTTCTTTTTCGTGCAAGGATTGTGTTACACCTTACAAGCTACGCTCGATTTTATCTTTGGCTCAAACCCATAAACAATTTTGATTACAAATTTTCTGTAACACGGTCCCAAATTTAAAATTACTCACGAAAGTATGTTTATTATTTTTTAATGGTAATACGGACATTTTTGTATAATCTTGATCATTTTTTTTAGTTGTCAAAGTTAGTTATGTCAGTAAATCAAAGTTTGTAATATTACTTTATAGTAATATTATGATGTTATATTATTAGGATATCATGTTGGAGAGAAAAGGGATGATTCTACATGAGAAGTGGAGAATATAAAATAACATCTTTCAGAGAAAAATGAATTCGAATACTCGTCAGAATGTGTAACATGTTCCATATGCAAAAATGGCCGTCAATACTATAATACATACGAATTGCCAAGTTTCTTATTATTTTCAATAACTCTTAACGCATTCAAGATCCTATGTTCATATGAACATTTTTTCCTTATTTCATTTATAGAATATATTTACGAAATTATGCGAACAAAACTGAAACACCCCGTACATATCAAACAACAAAGTAGTCCATTGTCATTTTGTAATTTAATTCCAACTTTTTAACAGTGTAAATTTTAATAAAAAATTTGTTAACGAATAATAATACGTCAAATTTTGTTGCTAAGAAATTGAAGCAGCCTATACCCAACTGGGATTCATACCGCAAATAAATTTCCCAAATTGCACAAACAGTCTCAGTAATTCATGAATTTTCCCTATGCAATGAACGACGGGGATTTTACATCGATAAAATTAGTCGTCGAGGGACACCCTGTAAAAGGGGGTGGTCGGTATGATCGACGGATAAAAAAATGGTAAAGTGACTCTGAAATGAGCTAGTGTTCGTCGTACGAGGGTTAATGTAGAATCGTTGTTTTCTTTGCAAGGGTTTCCGTGCGGCGAGTTAAGGTAGCAGTACAAACCGAGGTGTACCCCCGGGTGATATACGACTTTGTGGGTGCTCGCGCGATGCGCCGCCACTAAAAGCCTTAACGAGCATCTTCGTACGCCACAGCAGTCCAGAGTAAACAGGACGTGGCTTATCTTGTCACGAAAAATCTGCGAAGGGAAGCTCTCGCGCTTGCTCTTATTTTTCTTTTCCCTTCTACTCCTCTTTACTTTTTTCTTTCATAATGCCCCTGGAAACACGTAGCTCGGTTACACGATGCTTTGCTTCGATTCAGCCTAACTTTCCAACTTCGCTTTTTTCCCCCTCGTTGAGAACGATTGAACCACCGGGTTATCCCGCTTACGGTTATGAAACCTTAACGCAGCATAGCAAACAGTTAAGATTTCTACGCGCGATGTACCTTTAATAGCGACACCGCATACATATAACACTGCCGCGGCCATTTAAATTCATTGTTGATGTTGCTAACGTTTTCTACGTTAACCTTCTATAACGTCGTGCAACTTTGAAGTCACGTACCCATATATTTGTATCTTTTAACCTTTACTTTATGTTCGACCGCGGCGTTACTCGTAATCAAGAAATTTGTTTACGATTCCGTGTTTTTTGTGTTAAAAAAATTCGTAAAATTTGTTTTGAAATAATAGGGAAAAGTTTATCGGTTTTTACTATACTCTTCTGTTTTTAATTTTGGGAGATTTCTTCATGAAAAGACGTAAAATTACTTCTATTATTACTTTAAATAATATCTAAAATTACTTCAAAAAATTTGTTAACGAATAATAATACGTCAAATTTTGTTGCTAAGAAATTGAAGCAGCCTATACCCAACTGGGATTCATACCGCAAATAAATTTCCCAAATTGCACAAACAGTCTCAGTAATTCATGAATTTTCCCTATGCAATGAACGACGGGGATTTTACATCGATAAAATTAGTCGTCGAGGGACACCCTGTAAAAGGGGGTGGTCGGTATGATCGACGGATAAAAAAATGGTAAAGTGACTCTGAAATGAGCTAGTGTTCGTCGTACGAGGGTTAATGTAGAATCGTTGTTTTCTTTGCAAGGGTTTCCGTGCGGCGAGTTAAGGTAGCAGTACAAACCGAGGTGTACCCCCGGGTGATATACGACTTTGTGGGTGCTCGCGCGATGCGCCGCCACTAAAAGCCTTAACGAGCATCTTCGTACGCCACAGCAGTCCAGAGTAAACAGGACGTGGCTTATCTTGTCACGAAAAATCTGCGAAGGGAAGCTCTCGCGCTTGCTCTTATTTTTCTTTTCCCTTCTACTCCTCTTTACTTTTTTCTTTCATAATGCCCCTGGAAACACGTAGCTCGGTTACACGATGCTTTGCTTCGATTCAG